GTCAGTACATATTTCCTGTTCAGTATATATATATATATATATATATATATATATATATATATTATATATATATATATTTTTATATATATTTATTTATTATGTTTTATTTAATCTCTGGTCGACGGAGACTCGAACCTACGAACCTAGGGACAAGGTACACAGTGCTCTAACCGCCTTGCCACACTGGACAATACCTTGGCGTCCAGCCAACGCTAGACGTTTTAATCCAAAGCAGCCAGCATTCAAGCAGGTGGCATTAGCTATTTCATCTCATCCCTTGCATGCTGGACGCCAAGATATTGTCCAGTGTGGTAAGGCGGTTAGAGCACTGCATACCTTGTCCCAAGGTTCGTAGGTTCGAGTCTCCTTCGACCAGAGATTTAATAACAATGTATACAGATGTATCATTCAGCCTTGTACCACAATATTAAATATTGTATAAATGTTATTACTGAGTTTACGCTCTCTTTATACGTAAAAATTCGCCGAAGTTGTTTTTTGTATTACGCTGTTGCTATGACAACACAACGGCTACCTCCATATAGAGCGATATTACAAACTACTATACTCAACACTTCTGTAATGTTATACAACGTAGGTTACAAAAATACTACTATACATCATGATACAATTCTGCTGTTGTTCTATACAACGTAGGTCAAAATAATACAATCACTGAATAATACAACAATTTTGGCAGTCTATCAGTAGAAAACTTTCATGTTATTCTACTCAACAGTGGAAGATTAGATAAATTAAATGAGAGAGAGACAGCGAGGACAGCGTGAAACAAGCTTTTATGCCACAAGACGGGCAGAAAGCAGCAACTTCACTCTGGCTGTACCCTTCTCCAGAACATCACTCCATCTGAGATCATACATACCCAGGATGACTCGAGTATGGAACACATTCGTACAGCATAATGATGTCAACGAGATAACGTCAGTTGATCAAATGAAAATGCTGGCCCACAGATGGCTCCAACTTCATCCTGTTCCCTACTTGTATGTCTCCATAACAAAATGCTTTCAATGAGCTGATGTAGGTACAGCTCTTAGCTTGCCAATAAAGTTAGGAATCTTACCTGTAAATAGCTGTCAATAAAGCTTTGGATCCTTAACCTTGTCAAACCCTGTGTAAAAAAAAAAAAAAAAAAAAAAAAAATAAAGATAGAGAAGAGAGAGAGGGAAAAGAAGAGAGAGTAGGGAGAGAGATGAAGAGAGAGAGAGAGGAGGAGAGAGAGGAGAAGAGAGAGAGAGAGAAGAGAGGAGAGAAGGAGAGAGAGAGGACAGAGAGAGAGAGAGAGAGAGAGAGAGAGAGAGAGAGAGAGAGAGAGAGAGAGAGAGAGAGAGAGAGAGAGAGAGAGAGAGAGAGAGAGAGAGAGAGGAGAAGAGAGAGAGAGAGAGAGAGAGAGAGAAGAGAGAGAGGAGAGAGAGAGAGAGAGAGAGAGAGAGAGAGAGAGAGAGACGAGAGAGGAGAGAGAGAGAGAGAGAGAGAGTGAGAGAGAGAGAGAGAGAGAGAGAGAGAGAGAGAGAGAGAGAGAGTTACATTTTAAGCCAATGAGATATCTCTGGAGTGGCACTGCAGACTTCTGCTTTCCTCTGGTAAAGGTCTCCAGACTGACTCCCTGCCTGACCTCTGGCTAGTGTTTTATTTCTTAAGACTGGCATTGCTACCTTCCTCTAGTATACATATAGTTTTCTAAACTCGATTCTAATGACGCTTTGACATAATGGATTGCCCCAACCTAGAATTTTATACACAGTTTTCACTCTCAGTAAGGGTTGTGAATGCCTACATACGACCATGATTAGAATTTACGAGACGACGAGTCGTGTCTCTGTTAAACAGCAGAATGTTCTAGGGAAAAAATTTGATTGCAATGTTGCAAAGTTATAATTCTATTTTCTTATGATCTACGTGAAGAAGAAGTAAGAGGAAGAAATAAGGAGATGGATAGTGCGAGGGAAGAGATTTGAAAGAAATGGAGACGGGTAGGTAGGTAGGATGGCAGTAGAGGGGGAAGACGGGTGGAGAGTAGAAGCGGTGGGCAGCATAAGTGAAAGTTCATAGTGACCAGAAGTGGCAGCATCACCTTCCAGTCTTGTAACACACAGACTCTCACTCATGTGTACCCACCACACGCATGCTGACACAATCACACACATGCTGACACAACCACACGCATGCTGACACAATCACACATGTGTCACATAGGCACTTGTGATGGTGGTCCAACACGTACATGAGTGCTAACAATTACGTATGAGTACAAACTCAATGAAGCAAGTGCAGGGCACGTCTTCTGCAGCAGACACACTCATCCTTCTCTCGCTCCCCACTAGAGACTTATTCACAAGCTAGAAACAGAGACAGAGGTGAAAGGGAAAGTCCTCCAGTGGATCAAGTTGTACCTGAACAAGAGTAGACGGTGACAGTACAAAAGCATCGAAATATATAATGATAAAATGTTCGAATCCCAAAAGATCAGTACAAGAGCCTCTACTGTTGAATATATATGTGAGTGACCTCCTGAGAGAGGATCGAATTCTAGGTGTCTTTATTGCAGTGGTCAAGCAATAGTTACTGCAGCACCACCTTCCAGTACCTGCTAGATCAAGCATGTTCGGAAGACTGAAAAAGTATATTTTCGTAACCGGCTTATTCCCGAAGCTAAGAGTGTGCATTATAATGAGACGACTCAGAGAGAGAGGATCAATAGGGAGGATATGATTAACAGCAGTGATACTGACATACTGATACAAGGAGGGACGTAAGAGGTCGCTAAAAATACAAGTGAGTCACACGAACATTAGAAAGTAATTTTTTTTGTCGGACTGTGGTAGGAAAGTGGAAATAACTGGATGTAAAAGTGATGAAGGTAAACGCCGAAGAGAGTTTAGAAGGCAGCTGCGAGGGGGCGACAGTGTCCAGCGACGAGGAATGCCGGTCAAGGAGGTTCAAGAACCAGGGTCAAGAACCAAGACTGGACCTTGGTGAATAACAGATATGCAGGCACACACACACACACACACACACACACACACACACACACACACACACACACACACACACACACACACACACACGCACACACACACACACAATATATATATATAGTGATGCAAATTGTCTAGTGACATAACATCTGCTTGTTTACAAGACGGAAGGTTTCCTCTAGGAAAATATTAGATAATTAAAAGCAAAGTTGTGTGATGCTGACCATCGTGACTCTCAACACAGCCTCAACACTGACAACCACCTGTTGTTGGATCCTTCTTAGAACCTCCTTCACACTCTCCTTCCAACCTCTTTTGTGACGTTCTATTAATCTTCTTCTTTCCACTCAACGTTCACACAGCTTCTTGGTCAACAAAATCTTCATCTCTTCAAATCCATCAAAGCATCTCTACAGCCCATCTTCTCCTTCCTGAATTATGTTTTTCATAAAACCAAACTTTGTAATTTCTTCCCATTTTTCAACAAATTGGCCGTATCCCACCTAGGTAGGGTGAGCCAAAAAGAAAAACGAAAGTTTTACAGGAGAAGACGTTACTAGCCCCTTGTTCCTAGAATGTAAGTCACATCTTTCAACAGGCATGGCTTACGGAGGAAGAATTCTGTTCCACTTCCCCAAGGAAATATTATATATATATATATATATATATATATATATATATATATATATATATATATATATATATATATATATATATATATATATATATATATATATATATATAATATATAATATACAAATGCAGGACAAGCTACGGGGGGGGTTGAAATCTTCAGGTCAAGTACTTTCACACTTCTCAGTTCGTCATCAGGAGCTGCGCAATGTTGAAAGTGAGCAAAGTAAAGTACTTGAAAGTGAAAGTACTAGAGCTAAAGACTCCCCCCCCCCCGTGGCTTGTCCTGCATAGTTAAGATCGCCTATCTGCGATTGTTTGCATGTATATATATATATACATATATATATATATATATATATATATATATATATATATATATATATATATATATATATATATATATATATATATATATATATATATATTTTATTATTATTATTATCACACTGGCCGATTCCCACCAAGGCAGGGTGGCCCGAAAAAGAAAAACTTTCACCATCATTCACTCCATCACTGTCTTGCCAGAAGGGTGCTTTACACTACAGTTTTTAAACTGCAACATTAACACCCCTCCTTCAGAGTGCAGGCACTGTACTTCCCATCTCCAGGACTCAAGTCCGGCCTGCCGGTTTCCCTGAACCCCTTCATAAATGTTACTTTGCTCGCACTCCAACAGCACGTCAAGTATTAAAAACCATTCGTCTCCATTCACTCCTATCAAACACGCTCACGCACGCCTGCTGGAAGTCCAAGCCCCTCGCACACAAAACCTCCTTTACCCCCTCCCTCCAACCTTTCCTAGGCCGACCCCTACCCCGCCTTCCTTCCACTACAGACTGATACACTGTTGAAGCCATTCTGTTTTGCTCCATTCTCTCTACATGTCCGAACCACCTCAACAACCCTTCCTCAGCCCTCTGGACAACAGTTTTGGTAATCCCGCGGGTTCAATCCCGGCCGGGGGTATGGTTTAGCGTTGGTATAACTATACTCTCATACATTCCCCTCTTTGCCTCCAAGGACAAAGTTCTTTGTCTCCACAGACTCCTAAGTGCACCACATATACATATACATATATATATATATATAAAATATATTATATATATATATATATATATATATATATATATATATATATATATATATATATATATATATCGTGCCGAATATGTAAAACTGGTCAATTAGCAAGAACTCATTTAAAATTAAGTTCTTTCTAAAATTTTCTCTTATACGTTTAAAGATATAATTTTTTCATTAATGTTCATGTAAAAAATTTTAATTTTGCACCAAAAGAATCTTAGAAAACTTACCTAACCTTATTATAACAAGGGCAATTTATTTTAGCCTAACCCAACTAAATAT